AAGCTTACAAGGAAGAAGATATCTCTGGATCTTGAAGCTCTAACTCCAACAATGCTCCATCACCAAATTTCTATTTCTTCAAGATCACAAAAGAACACCCAAGAACTCTCAATAAGCTCAAGAACACTCCTAAGATGGATAGGGTTTCGAGATTAGCTCAAAAAGGAAATGAAGGTTGATAAGGTGAGGGGTTTAAAGGACTCAATGAACTTAAATAATGTACAAACCCTAAAAATTAGGGGTTTCCCCCTTACTCACTACGCCTTACGTATGCATGGGTATGCCCAACGTACGTACGGGACAAACCGCCTAAATCAACCATTGGAATACACCCGATGTACCATGTGTGCGCCGAGCGTACTCAAGCCCAAAAGTCCTAACAATGAAAAAATAATTTTTAAGAGATTTACCTGACGATTTAGGTGTTGCAATTCTGCCCCACTTGAATCAGACTTTTCCCTCGAAGTCAACTGTCACAAATAACCCTGGATAATGCTCCCTAATATCTTTCTCAAGATCCTATGTCAACTCAGAACCCTTCCGGTGCTCCCATTGTACCTTCACCAACCCCACAACCTTATTCCTTAAGGTTTTTGTCTTCCGAACAAGTATCGCCATCATGGAGTATCTCCTACCAAAATCCAACACATAAGCCCGAAGCATATACTCCAAGGTCTAGATATTCTGCTAGCCCTGACCATCAGTCTGTGGGTGGAAAGTCAAGCTGAAATGTAGGCAAGTACCCAACTCCTCGTGGAATCTCTTCCAAAACCTGAAAGTGAACCATACATCCTTATTAGAGATCACATCAATCGACACCCTCATATCGTGCCACAACCTCCTGAATGTATATGTCTGCCAACTTTTCAGCAGCAATGCTTTCCTGAATCGAGACAAAATGCGCGCTCTTGGTTAATCAATCCACAATGACCCATATCAAATCCACTTTGCATGCCATCCGAGGAAATTTTGTGATAAAATATATCATGATATCCTCTCATTTCTAAATGGGAATATCCAATGACTCCATTTTGTCATGGTGACATTGAAGCTTGGCCTCGAATTTCCTACAAGTCAATCACCTCTCGACATACCATGCCACATCCCGCTTCAGGCATGGCCACTGGTAATCAGGCCAGAGATCCCTATACATTTTTATCGCTCCTAGATGAATAGAGAATCTCGACTTGTATGCCTCCTCTATCAAAATTTGCCACGCACCACCCGAATATGGAACCACCACCCTCCAATGGAGAGTCAATAATCCTTAGCTATCATAATCGAAGGAAGCCACTTGGCCCACTATGCGCTCACTCTTCTGATGCTCCTCCTTCATAGCCTCAACCTGTGCTTTTTGAATCTGCTCTAATAGTGGGGTAATCACTATCATCCTCAAACACAAATACCTAAATGGAGCTGCTACCGCCTTGTGGCTGAGAGCATTGCCTTCCTGGGTGATAAAGGATCTCACAATCATCATCCTTTACTACATCCAATCACCTACGCCGCATTATATTCAGATTCGGCTGATCCATCAAATACATCAGTATCTTTTGATCTATATAGATTTTACATTGGACCCCATAGAGGTAATATTGCCAAATCTTGAGGGCAAACACCACCGCCCCCAACTCCAAATCGTGCATAGGGTAATTTACCTCATGAGGCTTCAGCTGTCTTGTTGGGTATTTAATGTGGCGTCTTTATGGGCTTTTGTATAGTCTATTTTGTATCCGGGTTAGGCTTGTCTACCCGTCATTTATTTATTAGGGTTTTACTATTTAAGGTGCATGCATGCACCATATCTTGTAATCGTCTAATTGTATTTGTAAACCCTACACGCATCTACAGGAGTAGTTCTTTGTCGAGCTCTTCTGAGGATGTGGCTTTTAATCATTCAGCACATATTTGATCTTAATTCTATGTCATTGACTACTTTACCTTTTAAACCTAATCAATCTTACAAGATTTATTCTTATCAATTGGTATCAGAGCAGGAGACTGTGTAATCCATACACATCTCTTCTGTTAAAGAAACTGTTAGGGGTTCCGCTTTAATAGGATCTATAGTTTGTTGTCTTCTTCGATTTCATCGATTAAAGATATTGAATCTTGATCTTTATTTTACCCTAAACTTGATTTTAGGTTTACACATCTGAGTCTTATAGGTTTTTATCAAATCGACAACCTACAGCCTGACGATTCTCACGTTAACTCCATCAATCTCTCAATCAACATTGATCCCTATAAAACCACCTTAATAAAACAAACATATCTGGTTGATGCTTCCATTACTTTTCCTATTTCTATGAAAACCTCACATGAACCTAAACAACTTTAGGTTCCTAAATCTGCTTGATTTTTGTAGGTGATTTGTGACGAGCAGTTTGACTCCGAATGGTACATAGATAGTGGCTGCTCACGTCACATGAAATGAAGAAAGGAAGAACTGCGAGAGTTTAGAGCACTAAAGGATGAAGGAACAGTGAAATACGACAACAATTCACTTCGAGAAATCAATGTCTATAGGATGACAATGGAGAGTTTTCAATTCGCAACATCACGGATGTGGAACGACTGCAACACAACGTCATTATTGTTTTGCAGTTGGTGGTTTGATGATGATCACTACTAGAAAAACAGCCTTTTACGACGCTCATTGCGTGTCGTAAAAGGCTCAGACGACGCGCAAATGCGTGTCAAGGAAGGCCATGTCATAAAGAGAGACGACGCGCATTTACGACGCGCAATTACGACGCGCGTTTACGACACGCAATGCGTATCAAGGAAGGCCATGTCATAAAGGAAGACGACACGCATTCGCGTGTCGTAACCTTACGACGCGCGTGTTAATGACACGCAATGCGTATCAAGAAAGCCCTTGTCAAGAAAGGCCATGTCATAAATGAAGATGACACACATTTTTGCGTATCGTAAATTTAAATGTTTAAAAAAAATAAATTTATATATTTATTAATTTTTAAATTAAATTTGCATTTAATTTCTCATAATAGAAATAAAATACAAAATACAAAAAATACAATCCATTGCATAATATAAAATAAAATTTCATACTAAAAAAATAAAATAAATTGCACAAATTATAATGTCATACAAAGAATCACTCAAATGTTAAACAAAAATAATACATTGCTAACATGGGTTATACATTCCTATAAAACTAAAAAATAATCATACAACTCTATTTCTTACTGGAAAGGAATGCCAAACATGATTAAAAGGTATTATTTGTAAATTCTTAATTCACCTTATGATCTTTTCATGTTGTGTCTCATGAGCATACACAAGCATCTCAACTGCGTTCTCACTAGCGGAGAAGTCTATGAAAGAAAGGATGGACAACATCAGCAACACCTGCAATCAGAGAAGTCTTGTAAGAATACCCTTTTCCATAAAAATGTTAATGAAACTATGAAAGAAAGGATGGAATTATAAGAACAAGAAAAGTCAAAGTCTTGACTCACCTTCATCCGTGAAAAGTGCATTGTACAGTGGTCCTTATGTGTTTGTTTATTTATGTTTGAGGATGATAAGATGAGTAATTTCTCATAGAGCAACAGTCTCTACGACCTTTTGGTGACTAGTCAGTTGAAGTTGCCCTATATGAGTTGTTGTAGGAGAACCCTGATTTACACGACCATACATTGATTCATATCAAAGTAGTTACCCCTGTTTTAAAGAAATTCAATAAAAGAATATAGTCTTTTCATTTTCGAACTCATATAAACTAAAAAAAAGAAACAAATATTACCATGTTTGGCATGCAATAATCTCGAAAAAGAAAGTAATACAAAGAAATTAATGGAATAAAAAATTGGTAGTTCTATAATTTCAAGTTTAATAAAAGTGAAAATTCAAGAAACAACAATATACTTACATTTATTTCACCAAATAAATAGCAATTTCCATCCTATAAAAAGAATAAAATAATTCTTCTTCTTTTCTCATGTTTATTCAGGATTGTTTGCAATTTGAGATCTTTTTAAAGCTTCTTGCTAAATTGGAAAAACACAACGAAATATTTTGATTGAAAGCAAAACTTATTACCATGGTTTAACGTCACGAAGATCTATAAATAGGGTAAGAATTTTCTAAGCTTGTTATTTTCTGATGGACAAATTGCAAAGAATATACTTTTCCATGAAATTTTTTCCTAAAAATATGGACTTTTGCTATTAAAAAATACATAAAGATTAAGAAATCATGATAAATGAATAAACTCTAGGGGATGGTTTGGCTATTTTATCAAATGATGAGCTGAAATAAATACTACCTATTAGGTTAAGTTTTAAACATACAACTAGGGTCTTTTTTTGTTTTTCTGTTTTTGTTAAAATGTCTCAGAGTGTGTCATAATCAAACAATATTACTCATGTGGTCAATTGAAACATCTAGGGGGAGCAACCTGAATGATGGAGGGTAAAAAAGTCATTTTAATGTAAGTAATCATATAACAAGTTAAAAGACAAGTTTTAGTTTAGTACCTTATTTGCTTCCAATGTAACCCCAGCGATATCATTTATGTATGTTAGAGAGACCTCCATATCGTAGGGTGATAGTTCAGGGAAAATGTAGGATTTTCCATCAGAATATATTACTTTAACTGGCTCCACTTCAAACTTTCATTCATAGTATATAGAAAACATTGTCACCTACAATTAATAAATACATGCATAATTCTATCAATACACTTGTTCTTTAAAAATAATTTAAAAGTATGATTAAACACTTAACCATTGTGTTCAAGACAATCTTGACCTTTGTCAAATCAGTGGCTATGCATTCAATGAACACGTTCTTGGTATTTGTAGAAATAGCTGAGTGGGCTCCATTGATTATTGGAGGCAGAGACAATACACGTCTGCAAAAATCAATTGATCCTTTATAGATTATATCACCATCAAAATGGAAAACATGGTAAAGCAGGAGTTACATATATTCAACAAATAGCAAAATGCTTTCACTGATTTTTTTATACTTTAATTTCTTCTTTTTGCAGCATTGTACTCTCGGATCAGTTTGTGGAGGGTGTCACAATTAGGGAACCACTCATTCAACCCACTGTTTGGAGACAAAGGAATGACCCCATATCGTTGACGTGCCCCCGCTGCCCGTTCTGCCCTTCCATTTGCATCAACAGCTGCCCGCTCACGTGCCTCAACTTGTGCTCTTTGAACAACAGGCCTTTCAGACTTCAAACGAGCTTCAGCAGCTTCTCTGTCACGTGCTTCATATGTTTCTCTTTCACGGGCTTCCCTTGTTGCCCTTTCCACAGCTTGACCTGTGAGAAAAGTATGATATTTCACATTAGACTTTTCATATCATTCAATGTTCACCATCTTAACTCATTTTAAAATCAGATTGGCATTCTTCTGTAGGCAAAATTCAGAAGCATAAGGGAACAGAAACAAAAATGCAAGAGCTTCTGCATCTATTTATGCGCTCATTATAATCCCGGATTACAGCAGGAAATTGTAGAAATAAAATACCAGAGAAGTAAAATGTGGCATATTTAGCTTTAAAAAAAAACAAAAGTAGTTGAATCCTTGAAAAGCTACTGACTTATTGGAGTTTGCATATCACTAGACTCCTTTATCATTAATTATATTACCATGGAATTCTTCTAGTGATATCAGTTCTGTAATGTGTAGGATAGCAGTTTGTTTCAGTAACATAAAGGCAAGCAATTATGATTCCACTTAACTTATGACTAATGATAACTATGTTTCTATAGTTAATGCACAAACTCTTACAAATGAATTTTCTTAGTAACAGATATAAGTTTTCACTTGCGATAGTTGATCCATATGAAAACCTAGCTATGATGCTAAATACTAAATAGAGTTATACAATTTCAAAACCAAGAGCAGATAAATTCCATAAATAAGTGGATTAAACAACTAAAACGTAGTTAAATCATAGCACAGTACCTGCTACTAGATGGATAACCGCCGCTTCCAAAGCCAGGAAGCAAATCATCGAAACCTCTTGAACTCTTACAGGCGGCGCGTAGGTCAGCGACGGTGGCGGAGAGGAGAGATGGGTTGGAGGATAGCTACTACTGCCACCAGTCTTGTCAGACACGAATACAACTTCTCCGCCATCGCGGTTGTCAAAGCCGTTGTTTCTTCACAAACATAAATCATTATCTACGGACTATAATCGTGAAGAGGCATGGCTAAAGCTGAAGCACAACCACCAGCAGCGCCAGCACCTCCATAGGCGGAGCAAGAGCTTGATGGTGGAGTAGAGATAACTGGCGAGGGCTCGTTCAGATGCTGGTGGAGGCTGTTTAGGGCTTAGGGCTTGAAAGATAAGGGAGAGAGAGAGAGAGAGAGAGAGAGAGAGAGAGAGGAAGACGAGCTGCTACAGACTATAATCGTGAAGTGGTATGGTGGAAGCTGAAGGACAACCACCACCAGCACCAACACCTCCATAGGCGGAGCAAGAGCTTGATGGTGGAGTAGAGGTAACTGGCGAGGGCTCGTTCAGATGTTGGTGGAGGCCGTTTAGGGCTTAGGGCTTGAAAGAGAAGAGAGAGAGACACAGAGAGAGAGAGAAAGAAATAGAAGATAGAAAAAATGAGGCGGGTTTTCAAAATTTTAGGGATTTCGTTTCCCCCCCGTCTACTAAAAGGCGCGTTTCATTAAAATTATAAAGCGACAGGTACAGACGACGCGCGTTTAAGATAAAGTGCCCTCCGTGTTTTTAATTTTTTTTCTTGAGACACTAAATTAAAGGCACACAGTAATGCGTGACGAGAATCCTTAAATTTTTTGGAGAGATAACACTATTTTAACGGCACGTCCTTTTGCGTATCATTAATCAGTGCGTGTCGTAAAAAGCGCGTCATTAAAGGTCTGTTTTCTAGTAGTGGATGGATCTGAGATCATTGAAAAGGAGACCAAAACATCGCTCCTAAAATCAATACGCAAAGTCAAAATGTATCCACTCAGTATGAACCCCATCAAAGGGAAGTCTGCAATTTGTTTACTTATGAAAGCTTCTACTGACGATAGTTGGCTATGGCACCGAAGACTCTCTCATCTCAATTTCAAAGATATTAACAAGCTTGTTCTTGGTGATCATGTGCGAGGGCTTACTCTCCTAAAGTATGATAAAGACAATTTATGTGCAACCTGCGAAATGGGGAAACGGAACAAGAAGATCCATCCAACCATCGTGAGCATGAAAGTCATAGAACCACTTGAGCTTTTGTATATAGAACTTTGTGGTCCTTCTGCAATTGAAAGTATTGGTGGTAATTGTAGATGATTTTTCTAGATTCACTTGGGTGCATTTTCTGAAGAAAAAATCAGAAGCCACGCCCAAGCTCAAGGATTTCATAAAGCAGATTGAAATTCAATTGCGAAAGCTAGTTCGCAACATTCATAGTGACAACGGGTTGTAATTCAAAAACCAAGTGTTTGAAGAATTTCTGATTGCGAAAGGAGTTACTCACAACTTTTCAGCTCCTTAGACTCCACAACAGAAGGGGGTTGTTGAAAGGAGAAACAGATCTTTGTGCAAGGCTGCGAGAACCATGCTTTCTTTGTGAATCTGTCAATTTACTTTTGGGCAGATGCAATAGGAACTGCCTACTTTACACAAAATTGATCCATCCTCAATAAGCGGTTCTTTGTCACTCCATATAAGATCAAAAATAATCGAAAACCTAATGTCAAGTTTTTCCATTTTTTTGGTTCTAGGTGCTTTATCTTCAATTAAAAGGAATAATGAACAAATTCGATGTGAAGGTTGATGAAGGTATTTTCTTGGGGTATTCTTTAACTTCAAAAGCATATAGGGTTCTCAATAAAAGTTCTAAAAGATAGAAGAAACCTACTATGTCACTTTCGACGACAATTACTTGAAGAAGTTTCAGAAGAATGACAGTCCATCACATGAGATCTTTCCTAAACCGAATCCTGTTATAATTCCACTCTCTAACATTTACGAGGAGCTCAAGAACTTATTCGAAAAGCCTGAAAAGGTCATCTCCTCCGAATCCAAAGCAGCAGACAACAAGGAAGACAAACTAAAGAAAATTATTGATGATGTTGCGAAAGATATGGAACACGAGCACCCCACTCCGAAAGACCCTAATGTTCCGTCTCAATCAATAGGTGCGAATGCTACACCACAGGGGGAGGGTTCTACTTCAACCTCCTCACCTAAAAAACCTGTTTAGGGGGGAGAACAAAACCCATGATGTTAGCTTAGAACCTCTTTTCAAGTGGGAAGAATCTGAATCCAAAAGAAAACCTATATACATCATTCGAGGGGAAGAATGAAAATGCAAATGATGATTTGGATGTGTAGTCAGAGTTTGAAGAAGTGAACGTTGAATTGGATCCAACATATGATCCTAAATATCCTCCATTGGATAAATGGATTAGAGATCATCCAAAGACTCAAGTTATAGTAGATTCGTCTTCAGGAGTTCTTACGAGAGCACAACAAAAAGCGAAGCGAACCACATTGTTCTCTAAAGTGGAATATTGCATGTTCAAATCGTTTATCTCCAAAATTGAACCCCAATATGTTTAAATTGCTCTTGATCACACTGACTGGATACAAGAAATGCAGGAGGAGCTCAATGAATTCGAACGAAACAAGGTCTGGATACTTATTCCCACTCCAAAGGATGTATCCATTGTTGGTCTAAAATGGGTATTTCGCAACACACTAGATAAAGAATGAATTGTGATAAGGAACAAAGCGTGACTCGTTGTTAAGGGATACTATCAGGAAGAAGGAATTGACTACAAAGAAATCTTCGTAACCGTTGCAAGGTTGGAATCTGTTCACATCTTTCTGGCATACGCAATACACAAGAACTTTGAAGTATACCAGATGGATGTCAAGTGTGCATTTCTAAATGGTGAACTAGAAGAAACAGTGCATGTGGAACAACCACCAGGGTTCATAAACGAAAAGTATCCGAACTACTATTACATTTGGGACAAGGCAGTTTATGGTCTAAAGAAAGCTCCAAGAGCCTGGTACGAAACTCTAACTTGATTTTTTAAAATAGGCTAAATTTAAACAAGGATCGGTTGACCCAACCTTCTTTTTCAAGAAAGATGGTGACCACTTGATATGACTTGTTATGTGAAGCGGTGGTTGACTTTCATTAAGTCAAGGCCGAGCAACAGTGACCACACGGCAAGATGTAGCCATTGGAGTTTCCCATATAGAAATGGGAGGACATTAATATAGATTTCATCATGATGTTACCCCAAACTATATGCAAAGTGGATTTGATTTGGGTCATCATGGATTGGTTGAACAAGAGCACACATTTCATTCTGATTCAGGAGAGTATTTTTGAAGAGAAATTGGCTAATATTTATATCAAGGAGGTTGTGGCTCGTTATGGGGTATTGGTTTTGGTGGTTTTCTGGCATAGATGTCTGATTTACTTCTTGGTTTTAGAAGAGATTTCATGACGATTTGGGCACTCGTCTCCATGTCAACACAATATTCCATCCACAGACCGATGGTCAAAGCGAGCTGACTATTCAGACCCCAGAGGATATGTTGTAGGCGCGTGTTTTGGATTTTGGTGGGAGTTGGGATACGTATCTTCCGTTAGTTGAATTTTTGTATAACAACAGCTATCACGCCAGCATTGATCGTCCTCCTTTCGAGATGCTCTACGGGAGGAAATGCAGGACCCCGATTTGTTGGGGTGAGGTCAGTCAGCGGGTTATGGGGAGTACCGAGATGGTACTCAAGACTACTGAGCTGATTCAACAGGTTCGGAGTAGGCTCCAGACAGATCAGAGTCGGCAAAAGAGTTATGTCGACAGACGTTGATCTAATTTAGAGTTTCAAGTGGGGGATAATTGTAACATTCTAAACCCTAAGGTACTAAATTTATTATTTTATTTGCATTATGAGGGTACTCACGACGTGCGATCTTGGGGATCACGTCGTGATGTACCAATGACCTATTGACCTGCATTTATGGGAAATCACGACGTAAGGCATAAGGTCCTATGATGTGAGCGCGACTTAATGACCCAAAACCCTAATTTTTAGGTATTTAACTGAATGAGAGGCTAGGGTTATCCATCCTCATCCTCTCTCTCACCCTCTAAGCCTCTGGAAAACCCAAATCTTAACCCTCTTGAAGCGTTTAAACATCTTTGGAGATCCTTGAAGCATACTTTGGTGGTTTTTGGTTACTTGAAGTGGAAGAAGACCTTGGTTGGGCAACCTCTTGGCGTTTTGACTTTCACCTTGCAATCTCTTGGAGATTTTGGACCATTGTAAGTCATCAAGCTTGGACCTTTCTACCAATTTCATTCTAGATCTAAGTTATAAGATCCTTTTTGCATGTTTGAGTGTGATTTCTTGCATGGGGTCCATAAAGTTGGCAACTTTACAGATCATTGACTCGTTCTCTTCAACATAGTAGTTAGATATGAGTTTGGTGTAGTTTGGGACTCCAAGTTTGAGTCTAGATCTCATTTTCCTCATTTTTGGTCTAGTTAGAGCTTGAGTCATGCATTATACATGAATGATTGAAAAGCCTGTATTTTTATCTTCTTTTCATTAAAGGAAGACCCCCTGGAAAGTCCTAAGTCATGGCTGTAAGGATTAAGAGTTTATTGTCTTAAGCTGGTCTATTCAGATCTCATGATGTGAGGTTTAGGACCGTCGTGTTGTGAGTAAGTTCGTCATCCCATCTATTTTGTCTAGATTAGGTCACGATGTAATTCAAGGTTGGTTTGCGATATGACGGGAACTGGAATATTTTTGGATAAGTGATTTCATTCACTGAGTCGGGACCGAGTCAAGTTGGTCCTCATCATGGTATGGTCACGGTGTGAAGACCCGCTGTTTGATTTTGGACCGTGGATTTTGGGCCTATGGTCAATTGGATTGGGCCTTTTCTCTAGGCCAAATTAGGCAAAGGGTAAAAAGGTCTTTTACCCTAGTTTCGACTCGTAGTGTGAGTCGAGATCCAATTATTAACTGGATGTTATTTTGTGATTGACAACGCAGGGATTTTAGTGGGTCAACATTCCGAGATCTTTTATTCTATAACACTCAGCAGTGCGAGGTAAGTTTCATCACCATGTTTAGTGAGTCAAAGGCGCTAATGTCGACCCATGATTTTGTTATGTTAGGATGCTAGACATCTGTGTGACTCTTCCATGTGTTATGTACTCATATACTTACTGGGCGGGGCCCAATGACAATTTTGTATGCTACGTATCTTTTTTGATTATTGCATGTGTTATGTGTTTATATGCTTATATGTTTTTATGTATGCTAGGAAGGACCCGTTAACTGACAGATCTATATACCGAGCGAGGCTTGATGCCAGACGAGGCCCAATGAAAGGCGGGGCCCATTATATGTTTATTTATGTATGTATGGTATGTGATATTTGGGGAACTCACTAATCTTTGTGCTTACGGTT